TGAAGGGTCCCAGGTTCGATTCTAGTCAAGGACATGTACCTTGGTTGCGGGCACGGGGGGGGGGGGGGGGGGGGGGGGGGGGGGGGAGGTCAGTGAGGGAAAAAGGAGATATATGTACTATTTGTAATACTTTAAACAATAAAAAAATAGCAAAAAAATAAAGAGGGAGAAGGGGACAGTGCCTGAGCAAAGGGAGAGGATACGCAGAGGCCATCTCCCATGTGAGTTATGCAGCAGGTGCCTCAAGGGGAGGGGGACTAGCAGGTGAGTTCTCCGTGCCTCCAGGCTGTCTCTTGCCCTGCTCTCAAGCTGAACTTAACAACCACACCTCTGACCAGCACCCCTCCCTTGCCTGGGCTGCTTCATGCCCACTCCAGCTAGGAATTCTCTCACAGACACCCATGGCAGCAGAGTGGTGGCTGGAAAAGCTGTGGAGAGCACCCACTTTCACAATTTGTACCTGAAGTGCACATGGATAGAAATTGTATTAAAATTTTGTTGTATTAAGACCCATTTTCTTTTCCACTCTCCCTTCAAAAACATAAAGGGAAGGTAAAGTGTTTATATCTTTTTAAATTTGTCATTTTGAAATAATTATAGATTCATAGGAAGTTTGAAAAATAGTAGAGCCTGGTGAACCCCCTCCCTCAGCTTCTCTCCCCCCAAATATAGTCACATCTTATATCATGTGTAAAATTAAAATTGATGTTGATATAATACACTAATCTACACTACAGACCTTTCTGAATTTCCATCCTTTTTACATTCATGTGTGTAGTTCTGTGCAATTTAATCCCATGTATATATTTATGTAACCACCCTCCTAACCAAGAGACAGACTTCATCACCACAAAGAAACCCCCTTGTGCTTCCCCTTAATAGTGACATCCCCTCCCCTCTGTACTGTCCCCTGGCAATCACTAGTCTGTTCTATATAGTTTTGTCATGTTGAGAAACTATAATAAAAGCGTAATATGCTAATTAGACCGGACAGCCGAACAACCTTCCAGACAAAGCCGGGGTTGTGAGGGCCCAGCCCCTTGCACGAATTTCGTGCATCGGGCCTCTAGTGTTATATAAGTGTTTGAAATGTACAGCTGGTAAACTTTCAAAATTGACTTTCTATACCCTGAGCTTTATCCGAGTTTGCATATATCAATAGTTTGTTCGTTTTCATTAGACAGTAGTATTCCATTGTATGGGTTCCACACTATTTTTTAAATATCAAAATTTAACCTTTTGGATGTTATCTGTTATAGAATTTAAGCAATGGATGGGTGGTTCCAATAGATGACCAATCCATGATTCCTCAATAGGAATATTTACTTTTCACATTTCAAATCATACACTATTTATTAGCACGTAGTGATAATTTTCAAATTTTGAGGGAAATTAGAAAGGTTATTTTTCCCACCTTTGTAGGTTACATGCTCCCTGAAGGCAGGGGCTGTATCTTAGTCATCATTGGATTGCCTGTGGGGCCCAGCATGGTTCCTTGCATGAGATAGGTTTGTATATGCCTCATCAATGGATGACTTACTCCCCAGGATTCAGACTGGCTGCCACTTTGAAACTGTTGGCAGCACAATACATTTTTATTGTAGAGACTGAAGTCTGCAGGAGGAGGAGGACCTGCCTTACCTGGGCATCTGAATGACAGTTATGTTAAGTGAAGTAGTTCTATCATTGATCTGGTAAGAGAATGTCAGCTTCTGTTCCCTTGCTTCCGCCCAGGTTTCCAAGGCCCCCACCCAGTGTCGGCTACATGGACAGCCCGTGCAGAGGCAGGCTGCAGTACCCTGTGACCTCTCCCAGGATGCATTCTGGCTCGGTGGCTATGTGACCATCAAGAATGAAACGGGATGACCAGGTAAGAGGGTTTTGCTTCTTATTGAAAAGTTAGTTTTCCTCTTGGAGGTCATTTCTTTTAGCAACCCCCCCCCCTTTTTTTTAGCGACCCTTTTGTTTTCAGTTCCTCTAGTGAGAACTGGTGAAAGTAAACTGTGATGTCATCAGCACCAGCAGTTATCCATATTCATCTGTCAATGGATGGCTCCCTAGTGAAATCTATTTTTAGGACTATGTGTTTACATTGCTGAGGGGGAGGAGATGCAAGATCAAAGCCAAGTGGCCCAGCGTGGGGCTGGGAGAACCTCCAGGCTTGCCACTGGCAGTGAGAGATGGGGAATGAGGCAATGTGGGAAAAGCACTTGGCCACTGACAGAAGCTGCCATGCTTTTTTTGTGAAATGGAAATTGCTCAAAAGTTGGAAAATAAGGAAGCAGAATCTCTGTACAAATAGGTTTACATGGAGCAGTAAGGACTTGGTACTCATGTGCAACTCTGGCCAACAAAGGCAGGAAGAGCAGGCAGTCACTGGCAGCAGGTGTCAGAATGTGAGGTTAGAGGCTGGGAGCTCCTCTGCTCTGCACTTGGCTGAAGGGGTGGAAGGAGGGGACTTGTGCACAAGCAGGTCCCTTCAACTTTGTGACACTGTTCAGAGCCCAAAACTGCCTTTTGCAAAGCCTAATCACTTTCTGTAGTTCTTCTTTATGCTGGTCTTAAATCCTTCCTACCTGGAGCGGAATCATTCTAGTCTTTCCTGTAGTAATCACTAGCTTATTGTCTTACAGCAAACGTCGATAGTGCACTAGCAGGACCTGGCTTCAAATCTTGGTGCAGCTACTTGCTTATAGTGTAACCTGGCTTCTCTGTAAAATGGAGATAATGGGGCTGCACGTAAAGCACGTAAGTGTTAGCTCTTATCATCGAATAGCATTTAGTTATATGGATATACCATATTTTAATTATTGAGTACTTTGGTTGTTTTTTGGTTTTGCCCATTTTTTCATGTTTTTGTCCTTTGAGATTATAGAAGTGGTAATTGAGATTTTCTGCCAGACTTCTGGATTAGTGAAGTAAAAAAAAAAAGGACCCAATAATAATGTGTTTAGTGAGCCATGGTCTCTTGAGGACGCCACCCATAGGTACAGAAATGAAACAAACTGACATTTCTAGGAGACAGGCTTTCTTTACTCCATTTGGGATTACTTCTTTTTCCCCCCTGTATCTTCTTTACCAGAGCATTTAAGGTTATTGTACAGGTCTGTTAATGCGGGCAGAGTAGAAATTCAGGTTTCCTTTGGAAAAGGTGAACCTGAGGCTTGAGACTGACAGACCCTCTGCTGTTTCGCTTATCTTCCCCAAATCTGTGAATTTGTACCCTCATCCTTTCCCGCTTGCTACCTGTTTCTAAAGAAAGTCTTCCTCCCAGTATAAGTGGAAGAAGAGTGAGCTTTAAAGCTATAAAACATGAAGTCCTGGCGTGGCCCTTATCTAGGTAAATGAACATGGTCAGTTATGAAATCTTCCCAATCACCTCCCGGCCTACAGGGTAACTAACCCTCCGCCCCATCACTAAATGAACCAGGGTGCTTGGGCATGCTTGGCCGCACAGGGGCTGCTCTTCAGCCTGTCTTCTTTGTCCTAAACATGTTCTCTTTACTCCTCTTCCTTTTAGTTCCAGCTTTAAGCTGGAAACCTAATTTCTTCTAGCAGTATTACCAACACCTCAGTCACACTGTTTAAGTGGGTCTGTCTGGTGTCCATCAGCCATTTTGTTTCAGAATTGGTGAAAGAGAAACTCCTACTCCAGGACAGCCTCTCATGGGTTAGTTCGTACGGGCGTACCTTGGAGGTACTGAAGGTTTGGTTCTAGACCACTGCAGTAAAGCGAGGCACATGAATTTTTTGGTTTCCCAGTACATACAAAAGTTATGTTTACACTATACTGTAGTCTAAGTGTACAGTAGCAATACGTATAAAAAGATGATACCTAATTAAAAAATGCTAAGCATCATCTGAACCTATTGGAATATTGTGCTGATAGATCTGTTTGATGCAGGGTTGCCAAACCTTCCATTTGTAAAGAAAACAAAAAACATCTGCAATGTGCAATAAAGCGAAGTATGCCTGTATATGTGAGTGGCTCTGTCAGTCACCAAAGGTGAATAAGGTAATGATGAATACCCCGTCATTTCCTTGATTGTAAAGCTGGGGAATAGATGGAATACTCTCAATCTAACTCTTCAAAAAGAAAGTATGTAGCAGCCAATTTATGGTTGTGGTGTGCACGGGATCCTTGTCACTAAGCAACATGGGAGAGATGGGGAAATCGGGATACAGGGTCCTACTGAGTTCAAGGATTTCACAAAGGCTAATACTGGGAGGCAGTGGAATCAGGATCACTAGGATTATCCAATGGTAAACATCAGAGAAAGTATAGACATGAAATAAATTAAAATGAAGCTATTTCCTTATTAAATGGAAGCATAACTCAGAAGTAATTTCCTCTAATATTATGAGATGGAGTTTACTACTACCAGAATGGTTGTATCCGTAATATCAACTGTGATCAACTAATAATTGTCATGTTTTCTAAAAAGGGGACAGTCATGGCAAATAGCAATATAAGTGAAGAAAGAGTTTAAGGTACATTTAGAGAGACAAATGAAACATTTTGATTATTTCATTTTTTAATCTTCAAAATTTTCTGCCATGAGACAGGAATGCATGATAGAAATGGCTCAACATTTTCACATGAAACACTTGGATTCATTTTCATTCACAAGTTTTTCTAAAAACTACAATTTCATAATCCCACCCATTTCCAACCATTATCACAGATTTGATTGACTGTTAAACAGTAGTTGCCAGCAAGAGCTGGAACGCTTTCTGCGTATTAGTAGTGTCTTAAAACTACCACCCAAGAGTATCACGATTATAAATTTCGTTGTACACAGCAACCCCAAAGGTGACTGATGTGCCCACATAAACTCCCTGGTTATCACTGAGAGCTTGAAGAAATGCTTTTCTACTTGTTCATCTCAGTATTTTTCTTGTAGGGAAAAGCACATGCTGACCTGATAATTTAGTCACCACTGCTAATAGGCAAATATATATGCCTGATATATGCCTGATACTGATGCTCTGTGATAATTATGTACAGAACACACTAAAAAAAAAAAAATGGGTTGCTTGGAAACTACCTCTCTTCTGTTGAAGAGAGCTACTTTGAGGTTTTTTTTTGAGCAGTTGTAAACAAAAGGAAAGAGATACACACGAACATATATCTATACACCTAGAGATATACATTGAATATTTTCAATGTGGTGTATATCTGCTTATATAGAGATACACACAAACACAGAGTAAGTGTCTAGACTTACCCCTTCACACATACCCACACCCTTACATACAGCACGTGAATATACATGTTGTGAGTGTCCTTGGGAGTTCACTGGAGTTCGTATATTACCAAATGATGATGAAATACCTGATCTGTATTACTCCTGAGAAGATACTAGAAGGGAATGACAGTTCTGATGCACTTTGGAATGGCACAATCACGTAAACACTTGCATACTTAAGACTTCTGAACTCATCCAAAGTTTCTAAACATATTCTAACAAAAAAAAAAGATATCAAAACTTGCAGCAAGCTAAAAAATAAAAGTTTTTTTATAATCCAAGTATAAACAAACATATAGGAAATGAGTATTTGTCAGTAATTATTTTTAAAGTAGGGAAACACGTACTTAAAAAAACAAAGTCATCTGACGAAACTTAAAAACAAAAACTACTATCCAATGCATAATAATACATGCATTGCCTAAACTAGCAGAAGATAACCACATTATAATTGCAAGGCTTATAGCAACTTCCACCAGAGAAAAATGACCATATACAGCAAGTCTGTTAAGTACGCAATTTATAAAAAGAATTATGACTGTTATTCACACTTCTGTAAAAAAGAATTTGCAATTTGCTGAGTATCTTATCCCTCAATATAATTAATCTGTGTAAAAATTACAGCTAAGCCAATAAACTTCAAGCACCAATTCAATCATTTAAACTTACTGTATTTATATTTCTGCTGTTGAGGGAACAAATTATGTTGAAGTCTAAGCTAAAATTAGCCTAGTAATTACAATTTAGTTTTATAGGCATACGGTTTCTTTTTCTTTCCATCCCCACAAATGCCTAACATTTAAAAATGTTCAGGCCAGTAAAGGAATCCTTGGAGGAATCCATTATTTCTGCGTATCAATGGTTTAATATACATTAAAAGCTCTGTAACAAACCACTGCTTTCTTAGTTCTAAGATAAAATAGACTCGCACACAAGAAACTAACAGACTGCTCCTCATTATGACTTAGGAAAGGCAGCACCTATACAGTAGACTAACAAGCAGACCTGGATATCTACCGTAGTGTAGGAAATGGCATTATTATTCAAGAAGGCAACTCCACTGCCAGTGGCAATACTGAGTTTTTCTTAACTGACAAATTTCCACTACACATTTGGGGTAGGAGGGTATCTCAGTAAAGGAGCTTTTTTTTTTCTTTTTTCTTTTCTGATTTCTTTTTCTGCATCAGGAGAAAAGTAGCAGTCTGAGCCAGTAGATGAGTAACAGTATTTGTGATGCCTTTGGTTGTTCCTGAAGAAAACATGTTCAGATAACAAGGGGTTTGTTTTAAATCAATACAACTGCTGTTTTGCTTCCAGTATTGACATCACACCACTTACACACACATAATTTCTGAGACATAATGTTTCACTCTTTCCTACTATTAAGTTTGGTTCATCTTCAACGCACACCAAAATGAACTGTTAGGTCGGTTCCATTTGATTGAAGATAATTCTACTGAAGAAAACTGATCACATGGAAACCAAAATCTTGGTCAATAGCGATCCTCCATCACTTCCTGTCCTGTTATCTGAACTCTAGCTCAATATCACATACACTCAAGCCCTGGTGTTAGGATAGAGGTGCAGGGTCTTGCTGGTCCTCAGTAAGAGGGGCTTCACTCTGCTCCTGGCTCATCTCATTGGATGGCTCTTCATCAACAGGCTCACTGAGGTCTTCACTGCCCCCTTCGCTCTGCTCCTCACTGTGGTCTTCGCTGGGCTCCACAGTCTGTTCCAGGTTGTTCTCCAGAAGTGTGGGAGAATTGCTTATTCTACTTGCTGCTTCAGCTGTCTCACTTAAGGGCTGGGAAGGAGGCGGTGTGGGAGTACCAGATTGCATGACACTTTCAATGGAAGAGATGGGGGCTTTGGTTAAAGTAGTATCCACTACAATCTCGTTTTGAGGCAAAGACAACTTTTCCACAAGTTTCCACTGAATGATGCTCATGTCTTTTCCACCAGTTGAAATCAGGTGACTGTCATTATGAGTGAAACTGACATTGGTGACATGGCTGCTGTGGGCACTGTACTTGTGACTGGGAGCCTATATGAAATAAATCAGACAGGAAAGTTAAACTCATTCTTACATGCCTGCTTACAGCAATGGAGGTGACAAGGTAAAGGGGTAGGGTAATTCAGCTCATAAAACAGGAAATCAAAGCCACGAGTCATCAAATCTGAGGAATAAAGCTAGCAGTAATTTCCCTTTAATACTGTTTATTTAGAAGAAATAAAGCATAATAATTAGACATGTATACTTTAGACTATATAGCTAAAAAAATAAAAGCCCATCTCTTTTGGAGAAAAAGTTGGTATACTTAGTAACTATTCTATTGGATGGCCAGGGAAGAAGTTACTAGGTTGGCAGGATTGTAGGTGATTTAGGAAGTAGCTCTCATGAGTTTTATAATGCTGATCATAGATGTAACAAAATATGTTTATGAGAAATTTAAAATTGCCAATATGTAAACAAATGCACAATAAACAAAAATGAATAAACCGTCATCAGCTACCTTCTATACTTATCTTCTTGTCCTTATTGAAGAAAGAGAAGACAAGCAATACCTGGACACTGACAACAGATGGCCCTGTTCTCCCCCTGTGCATCTCAGTATCATGGACAGTGATTAGTAACCCTACAAATATTTTTGTGCCACTGACACAAAGTTATCCCCAAACAAAAGGCACCATAATGCTAATTTTTATTAAATTAATTTTACCTTTGCTTTGGAGCAGGGATATTGAAACAGATGGACTTTGCAAAAGTCATCAGCAACAGCTATCACCTTCCTATTGTGGGATCGCACCAGTGCATTGATATCTGTCCCATCAGATCCTTCTGGCCAGACACCTTTGATATGGGAACATAGGGGTGCAGAAGAATTAGCCTGAAAAATATAACTGATAACTGTGATGCTACATAGGTTTATTTAATTTCAGGATCTTACTAATTTTCATCTGTGTTCAAACTCTTAGCTGCTAACATTTTCCCCTTACAATTTCTTAGTGGCTCAACACTTTATTCAAATGTTTTACCCAAAGTCTAACTAATAATAAAATTATAAATCTAAATAGCCTTATGATGGAAAATTTAATGATGCAAAAGTACTCACTAGTAACCAGCAGGTGGTGCTAAAGTAATTTTAGTTTTAAGTTTAACTCACCAATAAGCTCTTCCTTTTTCAGGTTTCTAGTTAGAGTTCATGAAGTTCTCAGGACTTGTATAGCAAGGTGCAGAAACAAAGCTGTGGGATTCACTAATTCTTCGAAGTGGAATCTGGGTAAGCTGTGTAAAATTTACATCCTCTCTCAAAGAAAACCTCACGGAGAGTCTAGTCTATCTGATATCCCATAGAATTTTCTGGTAACTATTATTGATGTCCAAAGATAAGACATAGAAAATTTAATTTTAATCTTTAACAGGCATTGGTGGTTATGTTCAACATACCACAGAATTTTATTAGACTAGATTAAAACTATGGAATACATAGGGTTGAAGTGCTGGCCTTCTGTGGTTCAATGCTACTCCAGAGAACAATTATGTTTGGTAAATTTGGTAAAATAAATTGAAACACTTCTGAACTAATAATAATTACATATTGCTTCATTAAAATAACTAGGTAAGTTATTAGTTATTGGCCACTGCCTTCGTTTCATCCAGAATAATGAAATTGTTTATGGAATAGTCAGGGTTATTTTGTTTTTCATTTCTTCCTAGCCTAGTAGGCTTCTCCATCTCTACAGCAGCTGTATTTAGAACAAGCAGCTACAATGGATTATTTTTCCAATGCACACAGCATAAAGAAGTGTTCAGATCTATACTTATGCTGGATCTGAGAGCCGTTTTCAGAAGGCAGAGATAGACTTGTTAAAAGGAAAAGTATTAATATTTTGGGTATTGCTTTAGGTATTTGTGCTACAACCTTTTTATTCTATTTACTGAGTATAACATTTATTTTTAATTCTCTGCAAACACAGCTTTATTATTTTAACTTTTCCATTTACCATCTAACTTGTTCAGAAGGACCCCTACAGACTGGGAAAGGCTTAGTTAGAAAACTGTCAGGACAGATTTCTAGGAATGTCCAAACATCAGATAAGGATCTCCAAATTTTATCTTTAAATAATATCTACTAATACTGCCTTTTTATTTCAGCAAATGGTGCTTGGACAACTGGACATTCACATACAAAAATTAACAATAACAACTGCTGACAAGATGTGGAGAAGCCAAACCCCAACTGCTGGTGGGAATGTAAATGGTGCAGACACTTTGGGAAACAGTCCGGCAGTTCCTCAAAAGGTTAAACACAGTTACCATTTGACCTTGCAATTCCACTTCAAGGTACATACCCAAGAGAAATGAAAACATGCTTACTCAAAAACTTACACATGCTTGTTTATAGCAACAGTATTTATAATAGCTGAAAAGTGGAAACAACTCAAATGTCCATCAACTGATGAATGGAAAAACAAAATGTGGTATATCCATACAACAGCTCTTATTCAGCCATAAAATGAAGTACTGATCCATGCTATAGTACGGATGAAACTTGAAATATGCTAAATGAAAAAAGCCAGTCTCAATGGATCACATATTACATGATTCCATTTATAAGTACTATCCAGAATAGACCAATCATTACAGGAAGTATAGATTTTAGTGGTTGCTATGGGGTGGAGGTGGGAGTGACTACGAATGGGTGGAGGGTTTATTTTTGGGGTGATGAAAATGTTCTGAAATTAGTGATGACAAAAGCACAACTGTGAATATACTAAAACCACTGAATTGTGCACTTTAGGTGCACTTTTAAAGTCAGTGATACCTCAATAAAGCTGTTATAAAAATGCCTTCACAAATTTAAAAGTTTCAGTTTTCACTTAGAGAAAAAAAAATGGACAGGCAATCTGTCCATTATGTAAAACTAGAGGCCTAGTGCACGAAATTCGTGCATGGGGCGGCAGGGGGTGGGGTGTCAGCCTGCACCCTCTCCAATCTGGGACCCCTGAGGGGATCCTGGGGATCGGGCCTAAACCGGCAGTCGGACACACCTCTCACAATCCAGGACCACTGGCTCCTAACTGCTCACCTGCCTGCCTGATCGCCCCTAACTGGCACCCCTGTCGGCCTGGTTGCCCCACACAGCCTGCTGTTTGGCCGTTTGGCCGCCCCTCACTGCCCGCCCTGCCGGCCTTGTCACCCCACTCAGCCGGTTCAGTCATCCGTTTGGTTGTTTCGGATGTGATGGCCCCTGGCTTTTTACATATATATAGATTCCTTTCTCTTATTTATCAAGGGCCAGAATTCTGGATTCTGCAGAGAACAAACCTTGTATCGGTTTAATTTCTCTGAATCTGGCATTCATAGTGATAACACTAAAGAACAGATATAGACTATTTCATTTAGGAATTCAGGCAAATAATTATCTACAAAACTCCACAGCCTTTTTCCATCAGGTATCACGTCCTTACCAAAGACTTGAAAGCCTAGTACACAGGTATATGTCGTCCAATCGATGTCCTTACACTCTGATCGATTCCTGATTAGTTTGCAGCTTTCTGTAATGTTCCCTTTAAATTTAGAAACAGGAAGTATAATCAGTGCTTGTGTATAAATGTATATGATTCAAACTAGCCACATTTACTTGGATTTATAATCCATACACTGAAAAACATTAAGATACATTTAAAAAGGAAAAGAGTTTACTTTAAAGCATGGTTTCTGGAAGTACAAATTGTTTCCCACTGAAGGTCCTTTTTCTTTAAAAAAGCCTACATGTCCATCCATTATACTTTTTCCCATCACCAGAAAGAGTAAATACAAAACCATTCAGAGCAGCATCAATCTTGCCGAGTTAATTTCTTATGACATGTCTGCACATTTAAATTAACTCATTACCTTTCTGGAGAAGTGAAGCACATTTGAGATTCTCATTCCTTAGCTCAGAGTAACATATGCTGTCAGGCTAGAGAGGCCAACATGCATGCTCCGCACAATTCAGATTGCATACAGCCCACTCATTAGTGCCCCTGGCAGACACCCTCAGCCATACATGATCATTCATACTTACAGTACAATATTTCATAGTCTCCCGAGTTAGACATTATATACTCGTTGTCTGGGGACCAGTCAAGGTGTGTGATATAGCTGGAATGTCCCTAGGAAACAGTAGATAGATCACCTATTAGAAAGCATGTAGAATTTGAGTAATAAAAAGTTCAATAATTAGCCAATACTGTTTTGTAAGTAGCCATCCACCTGGAATTCCTAATGTATAGAGAGCAGTATCACAACCTGTAGAACTGAACAGGCCTCACAGCAACTCTTTAGTCCCTTTTCACTCTATCTCACTGAGAGTCAAAGATGCAGGTATGCGAAGATGCCAGTGATACATGAAGAGTTCAAGCAAAACTCCAGCTAAAGAGGCCTCACCACAGTGGAAAGGGTAACACTGGGAACTTGGGAGTATCCTGTTGGCCTCCCCTCTTAGATACCAGCAACTATTTATCTGTTAGGGACTTCCAAGAAAGACAGTCTTGAAAACTTGTGCCTTAAAGGACACTGTGACAGGTACCAAACCCTTAGGCCATATTTCAGATCACTGGTGTCCCTGTTTTAGAGTCACTTCATTTTTGAGAATGAAGTATAGGTCTCAGGTTGTTCACAGAGTACAGTTTTCCTGGGCTGCTTCTTGAGTATCCAAGGCACATCCCAGAGGCACACATACAACAGTCTCCTAGAATAGCGGTCGCCAACCAGTGGTCCGTGAGGTCTGAAAGGTTGGCGACTGCTATCCTAGAACACTATCTCCAAAGAATATTCTGGAAGTCACCCAACACTGTACTCAGTCAGAACAGCTGGATCCGATATAATCACCTGACTCCTTACAACATTCCTTAAACAGGAAGACAGTGATCTTTTTCTGCTTAGGTTTTACTAATACTGTGGGAATTCAACACCTCCTAAATGGTGTTATTTTGTTGGCATCACATATACGCAGCCGATTTCCAATAAACTACTTCAGATAAATCACAGGTCTTATCGGTTTACCAAAGTCGATGGAGACTCAAAATCACTCTTCATCTCTTACAGTCTATGGTAAAACATACTTAATTTATAATATACTTTTTAAATTACTAGCTTTCTGTGCATGTGGTTTTATTTTTTAAGTTAATAAATTCAAAATACTTTAGGCATAGTTTTTAATGATTTATACAAAGTATTCTAATTATTCTCTTACCCTTCTGAAATCTAATGACATGTCCCAAAACCTCTCTGGAGCTACGATCTCCCCACAGCACTGCATGGCAAATACATATATTTGAACATTTAAATAAATTTAATTATATGAATTTGAAAGCTAAAGAAGTTTCCTGAAGTCACTGGAGATTAGGTGGTATACTGGAAAACAGATTGGGAATCCCTTGCTAGGCACACAGGCCTACCAACTTAGTAAGAAATCAGTTTTCAAAACCAGAAAGACACGTGATTACTGGATATTTTCTGAATACAGCAGAAGGACAGGTTCACACATATCCTTTTCATAGTTCACATGAATCTGATGCCTTGCTCTGGCATCTGTAGAAGCCATGCTTCTAAGAGAAGAAAACTTCTGCTACATGAGTGAAGGATTTAACCAGATCAGTCATGACGAAGTACAGTTGCCCAAGAACTACTCATCCTAATGCAGAAGTATATAAAAATTATCTGAATCTCTTTAATAGAATTACTTAGAAGATCAAAAGCGTTGTATGTATACATAATATTCATGTAACATCTGTGTTGGACACAACATATTTAGAAGGCAAATCAATGTAAAGTGTTCGCAAAAGATTCAAGTAGGAAAAGCAGCAAAGACCTTGGGGAAGTTATCAGTTCATATTGGAAAATATTTTCCCTCTGATATGGATTCCAGTATATAAGCGAAGAAAAGCTAAAATGCAGCTGCTGGGGGTCTGTAATGCAACCTTCCCAGACACCACCTCGGCATGTCCCTGCCCACTCAACTCACAGGCCATGGAAGGTACATGCACAGCTTGTGGGCAAAGAGCCTCAGACATCACCGCAAGGCCAGAGACACAGTTGGGAGCAAGACCCTGCATACCTCCTTAAAAAGAAACAATATTTTCTAAGCTGGCACCTTCATTTCTGCCATTAACTAGTTGAATGATGTGACTACAATAACCATCACATATGACGAAGCCCAAAATACTACTACAGAAAAATCAAATATTTTAGCTAAATCTTTGTTAATGGCATGGAGGATCACCTACTCAGTGGTTGCAACCGTACCAAAGCCCAGAGTTAGGGATCTATTTTCCTTAGTAGGTATCCAGGTGTCCCCTCACCATCTATAACGATGCATCCAATGGAACTTTCCACAATGATGAAAATGTTTCTGTGCAGTCTAATGCAGTGACAACTAGCCATATGTAGCTTCTGAGTGCTCATAATGTGGCCAGTACTCCAGGGAACTGAACTTAATAAGCAGAAAGTTGTGGTTAGTAGCTGTGATGCTAGATAATACAGGTAGAGAACAGTTCATTCTTTCTCTCCTGATTTCAGATATCTTTTTAATTACCTAGCAAATTTCCACATAGCAGAGATCTGTTTCTGGATTCTTTCTGTTCCATTAGTCTATGTGCCTATTCTCAGCCAACTGTGATAGTTTCGTGGTATGTGGAAAGTTTCAGATGACTTTCAGAACCATTTTATCAAGCTCATAAATATCATGCTGAAAACCTAAGAGTGCATCAAATTTAGAGAATAATTTGCAGAGAAAGATATTTTTATCAAGTGTTTTCATCTAGAAACATGTCTCTATTTTTATAGTTCCGTTTTGTCTTTTAGCCATGTTTTACTTAAGCTTCCTGTGCTTTTCTTGCTACATTTATCTACAAAGCATCTAAGGCAGTGGTTCTCAACCTTCTGGCCCTTTAAATACAGTTCCTCATGTTGTGACCCAACCATAAAATTATTTTCGTTGCTACTTCATAACTGTAATGTTGCTACTGTTATGAATTGTAATGTAAATATCTGATATGAAGGATGGTCTTAGGCGACCCCTGTGAAAGGGTCGTTCGACCGCCAAAGGGGTTGCGACCCACAGGTTGAGAACCGCTGATCTAAGGTTTCTGTTGCTCTTTCGAATAGGGTTTTCCTCCACTGCAGTTTTGATGTGCTTTTGTTGGTTTGAGAGAAAGCGGATCTTTAGAGTGTAGACCAGTGATGGCGAACCTTTTGAGCTCGGCGTGTCAGCATTTTGAAAAACCCTAACTTAACTCTGGTGCTGTGTCACATATAGAATTTTTTTGATATTTGCAACCATAGTAAAACAAAGACTTATATTTTTGATATTTATTTTATATATTTAAATGCCATTTAACAAAGAAAAATCAACCAAAAAAATGAGTTCGCGTGTCACCTCTGACAAGCGTGTCATAGGTTCGCCATCACTGGTGTAGACACTAGTTGTTTATTTAATGCAGTCTGCCCCTTCCTTACATGCCCGGCTAAGGCACTATTTCCTAAACTCTTTTGCAGCCAGAGGTGGCAGAAGTCATTCAGTGGGGCTCCCAGGAAAATTTTCAGGGAACTGACTTAATAGGAGGAGGGCCTTTTCTTCCTGCAACTGGGATGTGATGACTGGAGTCCCAGCAGCATCTTACTGAGGATGATGGAGTAGAAAGAAAGAAGGATCCTGAGTCCCTGACAACTTTATAACTCCTGTTATTAGTAATACTGAATCCTACTGCCTTACTGAAATACTGCATCAATGTTATGGATTATTTTCTTGGAGATTTCTAGGTAGACAGTTAAAATGTCTTCTTTGCTTATATGTATTTTCAATTACCACAGTCCTGGCATTAAGAACACTTATTTTTACCAGCACTGCTTGCCTACCTAACAGACTTTATAATGCTTTTGATTTTTAGTACA